CATTGTTTTTTGTTGGCACAGTGTATATTGCTCAATGGTTTCCTTAACTGCATCAATTTTGAGAAATACTGGTTATTAAGTGTCTATATCGGTATATTTAATTGCATGTTAGGTTTCATGACCTTGTTTGACTTCAAAAATTAAGATGGTTACAATACAACATATTTTTTGTTACGAGATATGTTAGTCCATATATCGAGGCGGTGTGAATATAGTAATGGAAATAGTAAATACATAAAAAATACCTCGTTATTATAATTATAATTTTTAATTTCTTCATTTATGTGCTTAAAATAAGACTGAATTCCCTTTATTTCCTACAATAATAGTCGTCATTCTATATTCTTTTAAAAAATTCATTTGAACCTAAAGGTTAAATACTCGTACATTTTTTATATAATATGTCGTCGCCTTTCTGCCCTTATTCCAATTATATAAATTGTGAGGTCGACGTAATATATTTTTCACATGTATTAAGTCGTATTATTCTATATGTATTTTTATATAATATTTACTTACATCAATTATTTTTTACAATGAATTTCAAAAGAAAAAAATAAAAGTACATATAACGATAACACACTAATTGCTGATCACAATTATCCCTTCTCAGAAATTGATAATGGATAAATTGAAACCAATTTAAAAAATTCACTTCGCTGAATGATTATATTACACTAGCTGTTATCCGCAGCTTTGCGCGCAAGATGTCTTGTTTACCTTTTAAGTTGTAATTCTCAAAAAAAATTCCTTAACAAATGCTTACGTTGTAGTTCCAAATTTCAGCTTCTTAGACTTTGTTGTTTTGGCTGTGCGTTTATAGACAGTCAGAATAAACGATTTTATAAGAAACAATTTCCTGATAAATGTAAAAAAATGTCAATGAAGGCATGCCAACATTGACCTATGCTAGATATAAGATAAGGCAACAAACTGAAATCTAGTGAGTTGTGAATTCCAAATACAGAAGGATATGTGTACGGGCGTCGTTCCAAGGCTAACCGGTTTTACTTCGGAGCTTTATCTTTTCAAAGTTGCTCGCAGAGCATGTCTATAATATTATACACATATGTGTACTTAATTAAATAGACAACGGTGGTTTAACCGCAAAAATACGAGTTTTGTTATACGTAAGCATGGTTGAAGATGACCTCTAACCTTTTAAGCAAATTTACATGCCAAAAACACAAACACATAAGAACGCTAATTTATCTTTTGTCAACTCCTATATTGTGTTTTTCTTTATCACAAGATAATATTTTTTTCAATTCCCACTTTTTTCTTTCTACCATATTTTTTATGATATGTACTTATAATGGCAAATAAGCTGACAATCTAAATAACCTCACTACTATAATAATATATTAACCTAGGAAAATAGTAACCGTCATCTATATATATATATATAGTTTGAAAGTCTTTTAGTCCAAGAGTTGTTAGGTAATCTTACTCAATTAATAAATATAACACAACGTTTAGAAAAAGGTGATTTTAGTTACACGGGCTATTCTAACACCATGCTTGTTACACCTTGAAATTTAAATCTATTGATTTATTGTAATAACCAAATGCTTTTGTACTAAGTACCGGGATTTGTAGAGAAGCGTCATAAAGAAAAGTGCGTAGCCGTCTATACACAAGGACTACATTTTGGATAATACAGAATAGATAAAAATGATCTGTATCTTTTCGTTAATTATTTACAAGTAACAAAAAGCCTTTATTATTATGCAAATTTGCTTCACTCGAACGAAATCGAATTTTGTACAGTACCCGACGTTAAGTGAAATTATGCGAACAAAGTAACGCCTAATTTGTATCACGGTCCAATAGCAGTTTTAAAGTCAGGATGATGAAAATAAAAACAGCAACAGCCGAATGAACAACAAAAAGGCCGTAGTTTCTAAAGTCCATGGAAGCGAGGAGTTGAATGGGGCTAACGAGACAGACGGGCCGATGGTGCTCGCTGTTTGTACGGAACCACAGAAAATAGCTGCGCCAGTTACTTTTAGAGCGCACTTTTGTACTTAATTTTTGTCCAGTCATTCGCACCAAGGTAGATGGTTTTTTCTATTCGCAACTGCAAATTATAGCGCTAAATGATTTCGTGATTTATTCTTTCATATAAAAGAAGTATTAAAGAAATAAAATGAATACAGCTTTATTAATAAACACAACATTTTAAATAAAAATAAAAAAATTAAACTAATATTTATAAATGATTTGTACTGAAAAATATTTGTTTTTAAGCTACTTCTAACATTTGTCTATATCTTTCGTTATATATTATAAATCAATTTTCATAATAATTTTTGCAGCCGACGAATTTTACCACAATTTAAGTTGCTTTTTTGGCGGAGCTTAGTATACCTCTGTTTTGTTTAGGTTAGGATATTTATTGAGATAATGCATATGATGCCTGATGAAAATAATAAAATATTAGATAGGGTTGATTATATCATAATTCTAGAATAGAATTTGGTTTGAATTAATAATTTACCTAATCAAGAAAGTTGGTTTCATGTTATTTCTACAATAATAATTTATGAGAAAAAGGTTTTACCTATTAGCAATATAGGTTAAATATGTATTTAAAGGTTTATTATAAATTAATTGATTGTAACATCTGTTTAACATTCATTAATATCGAACCTTGAATTTAACCATTTCATGAATTAGAAATCACAAGTCGAGGACCATTATTGAATAATTTCACGTAAAATTATATGGTATTATGTAAATAAATGTTATTACATAAATAACGAAATCGCGTTAATATTTATTACAAATTATTCGTAAATTATTTTGTAAATCACTTATTTAACAACATAATAATTCTGTTTTCTTTCTATTAATTCTAATATTAAAGTAAAACATGAGTCTTACTGTTTATTCGTTTATTTGTTACCTCTCGGTGTCTTAACTATTTCTTATGAAAATTTAGTATACACATGCTATACAGGATAGAGAAAGACGTAAGCCACATTTTATACCAGGTTATAAATATATTCTGGTAATACAGATAAAGTCATGGGTAAAGATTATTTCTGTATAAATGCCTATCCTTGACTGTATTGATTCGCTTTTGTTTTTTAATTTTATACCTTACAAGTTTTTATTCAAGAACTGTACGTTCAATGTTGAAATCGAGTACCCACCTACCTACTTATTTGGTTGGATGGTATGCAGTCGGGTCGCATCGAAAAGTTCAAGGCTTAGCAGTTCATTATAGTCTATAATCTTGCTTAATACTCGATTGTCAATAATTCGTTAGTCTTTATTTAAAATAATCAATGATAATCGATAGGCCTATTGATAATATGGGAATAATCGATTAAATGTAGATTCTATTTATGTGAAGTTTTATAGAATTTAAAAGATTATAAGTTTATGAAACCAATCTGTTAAATCTAGTAATACTATCGATTACTTCGACAAGTAGCCATCCTAAAATTCCAAAAGTATCGAATAATTAATAATATGTTTCTAATATTTGCTACATATATTATTGATTATGTCAATTAATCGGCAATTATAATGGTTTAATTATTAGTAGTCGACTACATAATCGATTATTAGATTATTTGTGGCCTCAAAAATCGGTAGTAATCGATATCGTTCGATTATTGGGCAACACTAATTCACTATTATGGAAATTAATAAACCCATTAAGTTCTATTTAAATAGTAAAGAATAATAAACTATATAAATAGGAACTAATAATGAACATCAGTGAAGATCAGAATAAATTGAAATAAAAAGAACAGTAACTGGTTATAGTTACACAGTTGTTAAAAAGGGCAGAAAGTTCAGTGCTATGGAAAACTAAAACTAAATACATTATAAGCATCAGATCTCGTTACTAAGTTTTAAACGGACTGTTTGTCTCCTATTTGATTTTTGAGTTTGTAAATATAGCTTTGTAGCAACTCAAATCTGCCAATAGATAAAATGTCTTATTGTTAATTGCGATTATGCGACGCAATTTAAAATGTGCAAGTGAAAAAATTAACATAGATTTTTTACAAATGTAAAAGAATAACAAACCGAAATTATAACGTAATAACATTCATCATCGCTTTTACCAAAAGTAAAAATATATATTTAATCCTATTAATGTTATAAATGTGAAAGTTTGTAAGGATGGACGGATAGATAGATCGATATTTGTTATTTTTCACGCAAAAACTATTGAATAGATTAGGATAAAATTTGGTCCACGGGTTGGTTATATCCTAACTTAGCACGCAGCATACTTTACAAACTCATTCACTAAGGCAAAGCTGCGAGATACAGCTAGTATTTCAGATAAATGAGGTTTCGTCTTCACTTGATCCATTATTATTATCGCGTTTGAACGGTTGAAAAGATTTGAAATATTTGATATAAAGATAGGCTATCCTATATAATTATTCAGTATACTTTTTTATCTTTACTACCAAATTATTATTGTTATGTTTTTTTTTATTTTAAATAAATTTCTTAATTCTACTTCTTAACACAGATGGATACAGCCGCGTTAGAGCTAATGATAAAACAAAGCTGCCGTCTGTGCGATTCCTGCCCTGTTTTACAAATGTTAATTTAACTTTTTAATGAATGTTTGTACAACGTTGAGAAAATTATGCATCACACATACAATTGTACGTTTCGTATAATTCACAAATTATTAGGTTAATGGTATAATATTTTGCGGTCGTTAAAATGTAGGTATGTATACTATTGTTATAGTTCTGTGTTATATAGTAATTTAGCGATTTCTCAGATTAATCTCCATTCAAACGCAATCAGAACGTACCTCTAACAATAGAGCTATGGGTTTATTCAATAAGTGTAGAAATTCACGGATTAGGTTGTAATTGTATATCGAAGACACTCAATTTCACAAGTCTGATAATATTCCTAGAGTTTATGTTGAGAATACAATGTCTTTTATCAAGCGCGGAAAGAAGCTTAAAGATCTCGGTACTACCTATGCCAATGTAGGTTCGGTCTTAGATTCAGAGCACGAATGCCAACGCCAGCATTAGGGCTGCTACATCTATCTTTTATAAAAATATATATCTTAAAACCTGTGCAATATTAAATTTACTTTAAGTAGCAATAAGTTTAGATTTTAAAACTGTTAGATATATTACAAAAATAATTAATATTTTGATTTCATAAGCGATATACACATTTTGTATTCCCAACTGTCAATATCAGTCATATATTTTAATTGTAGGTACAAAGGTCTACGTACACATCTAAAAATAGGTACCAATGTTGTCGAAACAAGTTCTTGTTTCTTTATAAGAATACTTTATGTTGTTTTTCAAGATTCGCATTTGATAAATCAGGGTTGTTCCTGTCGCAGTTTTTTAATAAATATTACGTAGTACGTTGTTGTTAGCACAGAACTGCATTTTGTGTATATATTTTTTTTCACGTCACGTATAAATAATTTTATTATTGATATTGTGACAACCTTGATGGAACGTCGCGGTATGCAGTATCTGACAAACTTCGACAATCCAGGCACATAGACTCGTGTTGTCGACCGTAAATTGAATAGAAACAACCTGGATTCGTGTATTTGTATATTCAAATAATCACAGTTGTATTAACGTGTTTTGCATCCAGTATTATTATATGAAATATACAGTATTTCTAAATAGTATATACTAACTTCCTGACAGTGGTACGACAAAGAGAATAAGGGATATGAATAAACTTTTTTTTTTATTTCGAGTTAATGAGATTTTGTATTATCCTAATTATTTCCACTAACCAATAAATAAGGTTTATCTCTATGTTATCTTATCTTTAATTCACATATGTGGTCAATGTTGCTAGATCATTATCTATCGCAATTGGACCCATTGGGATTTTTTGTGCTTTCTATTGCTGTAATCTAATGTCTCGTAAATTTTATCTATTACCCTTATATTCTGAGTTACCTGTAGCGTCCGGGCTTTATGATTGCATTAATTACTTTTTGATCCAAAACAAGAAAAAATCCATTTTTTTTGTCAATTCTGTTAGGACATAATATCGAAATTAGTATTTGATATTCTTTTCAATGAAGTGACTACGTCTACTTTCGTATTGATTCCTGATTCATTTTACGACTGAAGTTGCATCTGTTATTAAAGAGAATCTTAAATTAAGTATAAGTAAGTATATATCATTTTTATTCTTTACGCACTACAATGTTTAAAATATATTTTTTTTTCATCAATGTCGGGTACATTGTTTCTGTCGGAAACCAAGAAATAAGTCATGTCGAAAGACAAGAATACTCTCATGTGTTATTTCAACGTAAACATATCCGCTTTCAAATATTGTTCTATCGTATGTGTTTTGGGTTTTATCGTAATCTTGTTTACATTATTCATTCGGTTACCTACTGAATAATATTATATTCGGACTTGTACCTTATCTGAATAAAAAGTTCATATACTATCTACAGTTCTCTTAGAGGATTGTTTTGTTGTAAGGTTTGGTGTTAGTCCATTATATCCGGCAAATAAAGTAGTAAATTCTATGAAAGCAACCATTACATTTTAATAGTGAAATAAGTAGGTACTTTAAAGTATAATGTGTTCAACATAAATTTACTTTCTTCTCTATGGTGAAATCAATCTTGCGCTATATAAAGCGTAATAAAAAGGATATTATACCTTAATGTAATCAATTCATGTCTTGGGCTATACACAAACACAAAGCAACATTCTGTTAGTGATTTAGTTAATGGTAAGTATTTCATTAAAAATATTTTTAGTGGAATATATATGTATATATTTTATTTACAATATTTATATATGTAAATAGAATATATAAATGTGTAAAGTGAATGAAACAATAAGTTAAAATAGTACACAGAAATAATAGTGCTTCATTTTTCGTGAAATTTGTGTGGGTAAATCTGGTAAAATATTGCGCTGCACTTTGATAATATAAGCAATGTATAGAGAAGTAATAGTTGTAAAGCTACTATTCCGATAAGAGAATGTTTTCTAAATTAATTATTCGAGATAATTTTTATTAAAGTTTAACGATTGTAACCATATTCTAACTAAACATTTAATGTAAATCAGGAATTAAAAATCCTAATCATTTCAAAATTTTTTAATCACACATAAAATTAAAATATGATAATTGAAATATAATTATTATATTTTACGAAAATTTCTAATATTCTATACTTTAACTAAAACTTTTGAATTCTAAAACTCCTTTGCATATAATTTGAAGTCAATATAAATTAATGGGTCAACGCCCTTCGCATCAGGTGTCCAATGTATACATGCCTATGGCTATTACGAGTACGAAATTGTTGATTAAATTTTATAATAAGAAACTATAATATAGAATAGAAATATTTTTGGTATTACGTCGGCAATTTTGCGATTGGGTATTTATATTTTAAATAATGTAAAGCAATTAATATTATCACAAAAAAATTTAATGTGATACGAACTGGAATCCTTATCACATATTATTTTGGTATAGCTATTTTAAAGTCTATTTTTTTATTAGATGGGGGCAAACGACGACGCGGCTCACCTTTTAATAAGTAATTATTTAATCTTTTATTAATTTTTTTACTTCAAAATCGTATGTTATATCAAAACAAACCTTTTAATCCAGTGGTGGAGCCATGCATCGAGTTAAGAGTTGAAATAATTCAACTCTACATATTGTACCTATGGTCCATTTCTCAGGGATTGGCGATTGATTACTTATGTCATGGAAATCTTAATTTTAGTGATTTACTTAACATATATACTTGTCGTTTCCTGTGGCTTTATCCATATACTTTAGTATATAAAATATCTCCGTATTCTGTAATCTGTATTTTGTAAATTTTAATTTTCAAATCGGCCATTTAAGAGTAAAACAGTAACAAACATTCATCTATACTCCCAAATTTCGCGTTTATATTAAACTAGCTATATACTGTGGCTCTGTCCGCATGAATAACATAAAGTATTCTATGTGCTAAGTTAATCTTTCCATACACTTAAATTTTAGTCAAATCCGTTCAGTGGTTTTTGCGTGTAAGAGTAACAAACACCCATCCATCCACAGTTATAAACCTTTGCATTTATTATATTAATAGTAGTAAGATTATAATGTTCTTAGATTAGATTAGATTTGTTTATTTGCCAGAACATTGTTTTTTATAGATATTGATCCATTGTGATGTACAAATATTCGCCTTATAGTCTAAAGCATGCAAAATTATTATTGAGTATAAGATACATTACATCTTTGAGTCTTTATTATCTCAATAGAATTTTAAGAACATTTGATCGATGAGGTGTTTGAACCAGAGCAATGATACTTGTGAGTGTATGATTAATACTATATGTTACTTTGTATTCTGTGGGTGTTGGAAAGTGGTGATATCGCCAGTTTCTTTAGAGAATGGTAGTATACTGTGCGTTTGGTATTCTGGCAGTGGTTACTGGACGACACCGGAATAATAAAGTGTTGCTTCAATCTGAGATCTGAAAAGACTCAGTAAAGATCTAGCTTCATAATAGGAACGTATCTAAGGTCTTTGTGTAAAAAGATTAAAATTCGAACTCGACTCATGTGTTTCACAACATTTTGGCCTTTCACTTTGACTAATACAACCTCGGGAGTGACGTTTCTTAACTTTATTAGATAATTTTGTAGGGTAGAGTTATATAGCATTCAAAACAGCGAAGTGTAGGGTAAAATATTTGCAGCTCAATTGATGGAACGGTTGACTGTGCCCCGAGCGTGCTAATTTAAATATTGCTACGCAAAAATCACCACTTAAATCGTGACGAAATTATTATAGAAATATTACAGGCTTAAACTTAGTTAAGTGAAAAAAGAATCATTAAAATTGGTTCAGTAGATGCCAAATATATTGATACTTTCGTAGACTCATACATAGATATAGACACATTCACTGTGTGGTCCTAGCATAGAATGAGTCGCGCCTTTCTTTCCCGTGGGTCTCGTAAGAGGGGACTAAGGGATACTAATGGTCGAGGGATGGGCAGTAACGTCCTCATTAAACATCATGGAAAACCTAAATGCGGTTGCAAACTCCCTGCCAAGTGTGGCAACTACTGGAAAAACGGGGGAAAGACCTATATTCAGTATTGGATAGTTACTGGCTGATATCATGATAATGATAGATACATTACAAAAGATACAAATTAAGTATCACTTCGATTATAAGGGACTATGAAAACATACCTTAAAAACGAAGAGATTTTCTATTTGTATCGATATCGATAATAAACTAAAATGTCGTATAGCAAAGATGTTTATGTTGAAAGAAAACAAATTTATCGATAACAACACGTATGGTGGATGGTAGTCACGTATGTTGAGGTGTGCTTACCGACTATTAGATACGTGAGAGTATTTGTTTTAACTTCCTCCAGTAGAATGCTATGTTATTTGATTAATTTTGAAATAGTTGGACTATGCGTGAGCGCTGTCATTTATCACTTCCCTAAGCAAAATTGGGACACTGTGTTGTTGCAAGTTATCACGTAATATTTCCAATTAATGTTTAATATTTCTTACACGCATACTAAAAGTTAGATTCTCGTTGAAAAGGCTGATTTAATACACCAAATTTTTTAAATATAATTATACGAGTATATAGCCTTAGTAATATTACATGTGTGAAAGTGAGTTTGTTTGTTTGTTATCTCTTGGCATAATAATGGTTTAACTGGTCCTTATAAAATTTGTCATTTACATAGTATTTATGGGAAGAAGATGGACGTAAAATGGCGATTTTTCATTTGTATAGTCACGTGAAAGAAAGAGTGCAGGCAGAGTTTGTAATTAGGTAAATAAAGTTAGGGTCATTGTACTAAAAGTCTAATTAATTTACTAATTATAATATATTACAGTTATTCATAATTTGTAATTGTTTTTATCATAATGTTTATTTTATTTTAATGAAATAAATACTCTGCTTAATTTTAATAACTGAATTGTTGAAAACGATGTCATCTGAATTAATATATGGCACACAAACCAGTAAACTTACTGTACCCAGTTAAGTAGGTGAATAACTAGTTCGATTTCACGATATACATTTCGTAACAAGCATTTAGTCCATAAGTATGCAGTTTTTGTTAGGCAAATGCCACTTATTTGCACGTTTTAGACTTATTGCTAGACATTTACCTATTTGTAAAATGTTTTTATGGTCGTATTTGAAATAAAACGTTTTCCGATTAGCCGACTAACCTTTGTGCTTATTTATATATTTGGAAAGAAAAGGTTCTTAGTAGGTGGATATTTATATGAATTTATATATTTAAATGAATGTTTATATGTACTTGCATAGATAGATAGATAGATAGATAGACAATTTATTTGCATTACTTACAGCACACAAATTACAATAAAAAAAAAACATACACGTAATACACAGCAAAAGAGACAAAAGAATAAAAATAAAAAAACAAAAATACAAAAACAAAATACATAATCTAACAATCTCCTTTGTTAACATTCCTTCATGCGTGTGCCATAGTAACACAAAATGGTCACAGCTCAGTTTATTGCTTTGCCCTTAAAAGAGCAAAACACTGATATTCTGCTGTGGCCAAGAGTCAGTCGCGAAACTTTTCATTAAAAATTTACAATATAAATATATATACATATATACACACATACATACATATACACATACATATATATACATATATATATATATATATATATATACATACATACATACACATACATATATATACATACATACACACACACACATACATACACATACATATATATACACACACACACATACACATATAAATAAACTGCATTGTATGTGTCCATTATATTTGCCTCCACTTGACATTATATTCTACATAAATAAATAAATAACAGATACCATTAGATGAGGGGTAGTCAGAGATCACTTTCTGTCACATTCAGATATTCAGGCAATAAATATTTCGGCTACGTACCTATTGGGTATTCCAATTTTTTGTTTATTAATTAAAAAGATTTTAAGTTTTTTTTTTTAAAATGTGTTTACTATTAGACAATCTTATTGGGGGTGGTATATTATTCCAGCATTTCGTAGCTTGGTAGCGGAAACTTCCCTCAAACGCCACAGTTTTATGAGGACGCCTTGCTAATAAGTAGCGCGTGGGTCTTGTACTATATTTGTCATGGAATGAATTAAATTGTAATTTAGAATATAGATATTCCGGTCGCCGATACTTTAAGATGTCAAATACTGTACAAGCGAGATGAAAGTTTCTCCGAGAGGACATGTTTAAGGTGGAATAATTATTTAAATATGGCGTTACGTGCGTTCTAGGCGGAATATTGTGACAAAATCTAGTACATGCATTTTGTACTCGCTGTATAAGACGTTGAGTTTTAGAGTGCAATCGAGGTCCATACACTAAATCGCCGTAATTCAATTTAGACAAGATCAATGATTCACAAAGAGTGACACGAACTTCCTCATTCAGAAGATTTCTAATTTGATATAGAACTCTTAGACGATAAAAGCAGCTTTGAACTAGTTTTAGAACATGAGTCTCAAAGCGTAGTTCACTATCGATTACTATTCCAAGATTCCTAGCTTCTTTAACATAGTCAATTCTTTCCCCGGAAATATATATGTCAGGATTCTGGCTAAATATAAATTTTACTTGTTTTTTAGATCCTAGAACCATGTATACAGATTTTTTGGGGTTTAACATCATTGCATTTTTAACCGACCAATTCGCAATACGTTCAAGATCCTCATTTAATTTTGAAACACTTCCTGAGACATTTCCGCGAGAAGCCGGGATATAAAGTTGAACATCATCTGCATAAATATGGTATTTGCAATGTTGTATCTGTTTTATAAGATCAGCACTATATAAAATAAACAGTAATGGACCGAGTATTATGCCCTGAGGCACTCCGCGCGTGACTTCCGAAGAATCAGAAAACGCAGGTCTACCAGCTCTCCCCACCAATTTAACAGTCTGTCTACGATTATCGAGAAAACTCGTAAACCATCCGACTGACTGTTCGTCCAAACCGTAAAATGTCAATTTTGCCAGAAGTAGTGGAATACTGATACTGTCAAAAGCACGAGAGTAATCTAATAATGCTAGAAGTGATCCCTCTCCACTATCTTGACTCGTAAGAATATTGTCAACGACGTCCAATAAAGCGGAAACTGTACCTCTACCTTTGCGAAAGCCGGATTGCATCGCTGGTAAGATACAATTTTCCTCAACATACTTAGACAACTGGGTGTAAATAACTTTCTCCAGTATTTTCGACAAGTATGGAAGAACACTAACTGGACGCAAATCTTTTAGTTCTACTGGATTATCTACTTTCGGTATAGGAGTGACAATAGCCGATTTCCATAATTCGGGCACCGCGCTTGTTACGATAGACTTATTAATTATAGCCGTTATTATCGACAGTGTACGTGGCAGGGTCTGTAAGATCATGTCTCTCCCTATACCATCCACCCCACAAGCGTTGGACTTAATAGACAACAAGTACTTAGCTATTTCACTCTCGTCGGCCGGTTTAAGAGTGAGTGAAATATCACCATATCTGTGATACTCAAAATATGTCAGATCGGAAATAGACACAGACGAGGGGGCAGGCACGTTAATAAAAGAGTCATTGATTTCGTTCGGGTCATTGAAACGATCAGGTAAGCAGTCCTTTTTTTTTATATTTATATTAATTTTATCCCTAATATTTCTCCAGAATAGTTTAGGATCGTCACACTTAGAATTAATTAAATGATTAAAATACGCTCTTTTTTCATAATAAATACTACTATTTACTAGCTTTTTACATTGTATATAATACTCCTTATGATTACCATTTTTAGATCTACGATATCTCTTAAATGCCTCATCGCGTAAATCCATCATATATTTAATAGTATTTGTTATCCACGGCAAAGATCGACCGTTTCTAATTTTGATCGTTTTTTCAGGAGCATGTTTGTTGTACAATGATAGGATTAACGAATTAAACGTATTCACCATAGAATCGACTGATGAGCAAAGCAACACGGATTCCCAGTTCATGGAATTTAAATCTTCAATAAACTCTGTCATATTCATATCTTTAATAGGTCTATACGTTATGGTCTTTGGTGTACTTTTGCTTTTTTTAATTGATAAGGTAGTGATAACCATAGCATGACCCAAGGAACCAGTGATGTTATTCACAGTTACGTCCTGCGCGTGTGCATTGGTACAAATAATGTCTAAAAGTGTCTCATTGTGTATAGAAAAGTGAGTTGGTTCAGTTACCACCTGTTTAAGATTCAAACACTGCAGAAACTGTTGAATTTTTTTAGTCTTTATATTATGAGCATCTGACATGTCAGCATTAAAGTCCCCAAGTAGGACAATGTAATCGTAATTAGAAAAGTATGTTACTGACTCCGTAACAGCATCAAGAAAAACATCAATGCCTACCCATTCTGGTCGATAAGCCGTTCCAATAATAACCCGTACTCCATTAAAGGTTACGTTTACCCACATTTGTTCGATATTTGCGACAGGATGCTGTACAACTCGCGCGCACAAACTGCGTTTGATGTAAAAAGCTACGCCACCGCCGCGTCCGCTACGCATGTGGCGCGGGCGCGGAACCGAGCGCAGTCTATACCCGGGCACGACTGGAGCACGCGCCTCTTCACCTTCGCGTAACCATGTTTCATTAATTGCAACAATATCAGCGTTATACCGGCTCATAGCTACAATAAAGTCATCTTGTCCGGTGCTTAAAGAGCCTGCATTATAAAGCCCTAATTTAAAAAACTTAGTGCTAAATATGAATGTGATATAATAAAATAATTAACCATATATAATTATAAATACCAATAAATAATAATAAACTCACACAAGTAACCCTAGAAATAGACATTTCATACATCTGATCATTAATAAAGTTTATGTTGATTGTGTATTGTTCGAAATCATTTACAAAGACAACCAAGTGACATTTAAAATAATCTCTTAAAAAGTGTGTTACGGTGGCAAACGTTATGAACACAAATTTTATAATACAAATAAAAGCAAACTTATAACAATGGACAGTTTGTGATAATAAATATAAATAATTAGTGACTACAAATAATCGTGTTCTATTGTTTTTCAACGGACGAACAAACGGAAGGCAAACCAAAAACACCTTCCAGGTCATCCTCCGAGTGAACTCGATATTTAACAGCATCACCCCCCGGATGCTTTCGAACATATACTTTCCCATTCCTTGTCCAGCAAAAGCGCCAGCCGTGCTGCCTCGCCGCCTCACGCGTTTTTTGAAATAATTGCCGATTAGCCCTGGTTAACCTTTCATTAACATAAAAACGCCGCGGCGTACCCGGTAGGCCTGCACCCTCAGTTGTCGCGCCACGGCGCACCCTGGCTGCCTGTATTAACTGGTCTCGCAAAGCACGTCGCGCCAACCGCACAGCGATGACACGAGGACGAGGAGCTGTGCCCTCTCTAGGCTCCGGCACACGACCCATACGAGTCGCACTCACCACATCCCGCTCCGTCAACGGTACACCCAGTTTAGTGGCCAATGTCAGGATCACGTGACCAACCGCCTCACCCTGCTGCTCCGGTACACAAGATAGCTCGACGTCGTTCAACAGAAGCTCCTGATCACGTTCGTTTAGCTCGCTCTTAAGTTGGGCTATACTTCGCAGTAAGGAGTCACCATCGCGTTGGCTCCCCGATATCTCATTCATTCGACGCTCCATACCGTCCATGCGAGCTGACAGACCATCAATCCTTTCATTACAGGCCTCGATCTTCAACATGGCACCAGAGACAGTGGCCGTCAGCTCCTCCATCTGACGCCGCACCGCCCTCAGCTGCTCACCAACAGAGCGCATCTCCAATACTAAATTATATATGTAAATATTAATTTAAAATATTATATAGCGTGTACAAATCTTTATGAATTTATTAATGGTGAGATCTTATGTAAAAATAAATGCTTTATATAAACTAGTAGGTAACCAATTATCTATACTACTAGAAAGCCTATGTTAATTTCTGTAAGCATATGATGATACGAATCTTATTTCCTACAGGACAGGCTCAGCTTAGTGTAAGAATCAATTCAAAATTTAATGCTTATACAAACATACTTTAATAATAAATATATTTTTTCTTATTTTATATATACTAATTTACTCATGAGATGTTATGTTCGAATATTTTAAAATGTTATTTACATTTATATAAAATAACGAAGTGAATGAGAAGGATATTATTGAAAAATACATTATTCATAAATTAATTAAACGTTCTCTTTGTATTCTCTTTACTGTAATAATTTGGCTTGAATATCGTCTTAGCTTGCTTAAACGAAGCGTGGCCATGCCTACGAATAACTTTGTATAATATATTGTCTTGACGTTGCTGTTCTCTTGCAAACGTTATTGCATGCTTACACTGCCACATGACTGGTTGTACTCATTACATTTTGAAGCTATTAATATATTCTAATATGTACTATAAACCTTAGACATAAAGGCCATATTGGTGTGAGCAATTCGACGTTGGGTGTAACCAGCATTGTTGCTTTAGGAGATATGACAATGACAACTGAAGTTGTATAATAAGCACTTTGATATTGTGCAAAGTATTTTGGTTCTGGTTTCGATGTCGATACGCGTCTTACATAAATTTCATTCGTGAATGAGGACCGTTGTTCGAAGTCAAGTGAGATGAAATCAATGTAATTTATCATAGATAACAATCGATCAATTATTGAGCTGACATCTAGTAAAGGTCGTGCAAGGGTGTAGATTCATTTGAAAACCGAATGGAAAGTTAAGTTTTGTGTTATTTATTTGTCTGAGTTGGTTCGAAATAATATACCGAACTTGCAGTCCAATGATGCAATAACAAATTTTATAAAATAAAACGCTTTTCTCCTGTGACAGTTAATATATTGAATTAAATGTAAAGAAGTCTAGTAATGTGTTCACAGTAAGACTATTAGTTTACAACTGCTATTAAGTAAGACAACATATACATGTTTGTTTTTAGTTATTTAATATTGAACACACTTGAGTACAGTTTAGGCGTTTTTTTATGCAACTGCAAATTATTGTCTGTAGAATTGCTTTAACCTTTTATTATTTTGATACACGGTCGGATCCGCTTTAACATATGTAGGCGATTGATCAATGTAAACGTAAATTATGATTAACAATATATTGATGCAATAGTTAATTATTTCGACTTGTATTAAACCGGTTCGTGTGGCGACGACATTCCACATGGAGGTCGACTACGCAGAAAGTGTTTATTTCAAATTATACCTACTGAAATTTGGGACTTAATGACAAATTAATAACTTAATGCATTTTTAAATAGTTTATATTTAAAAATTCACTCATGAAGCAGAGTAAAATGTAATCTCAGTTTGAATTGACTATCGAAAAATATAAATTAAAATTATAGATATCATATTTAAGCCATAGTTACTATAAACATAATATTTTTTTTTATGAACACATTAAATATAAAGAAATACAATAAAGATTTTGCAATATAATACACTGTTTACTGTATAATAATAATATAAGGCACATTTTTCTGTTACACCATATAAAGCAATCAAAATTCGTCTGACGTACACGTCCCGGAATAGAGATCATTGATTTCGATGAAGTAACCAAATACGTAATCATGTTATCGCAACGGATCTCCATCCTTATCCTATCCTTGTATTAGTATGTATTGTAAAAGTTATGCCTCGGCAGGATATATACAAAAGTGAAAATTTTTATGTTTCCGTACAAAAATGTACACTATGCAGTCAAATTAGAGTTTAGAATTAATACAGACATATTGTTAGTTTCCAATTAGTTTGCATCAATTACGTATTTGTAATTGTATTTCCTGATCACCAAAGTTTTATTTTTCTTGTCTATCTACAGCAAGAAGACGTTTCAAATGGATCTCGATGAAAATATTGTTAAGCTTCAGTTCCATTTTCTCAGTATATTTTGTAATTTTTCAGAGCTTGCTTTCGATAATTGCTTTGGGACCGAGTCTTATTTCTGTTTCTATGCTGCCTAGTTATTTCATAAAGTAGCAATGCTTTTATTCCTAGAGAGAGCTTTTAAAGGATGTCACGATTTAAGTGAAGTATGTATTTGTTATTGGACATTAAATTATTGATGGAATATAAGTAAAATAACTTTTTGAAAACCAGTAGAGTAGAGTGGATATTGAAATTACCATTTTCGTTACCATAATCAACTTTTACTTACAACAATATTGGAGTGTTATTAGGTTTAAAAACAACAAATTTTACTCAACTTGGATAATGGGAACATGTTCAAAATTTAAAAGATTTGATTGAATCATACGAATGTATAATAAAACAATGTAAATTAAAATTTTTATACATATTTGATGTTACTTGAGTGTGTATTAATTTAACTTTTTGTTTAAAAAACAGATATTAAACATTAAATAAAAATAATGATTTATAATGATATTTTAAATTTTTTTTTGGTAAATGTTATTATTTCAATATAATAGCAATTCAGGAAGAGACAGATCAGTATTAAAAATTATTGATAAATGGGGAGAATATTGTGATAATACTTAAAACTTTTTATTTTTAATTAATTATCCAAAAGCTTTTATAAGAAAGTAAACATATTAAACTAGCAATAGGTTTATTAAAAATTAATATTTAATAATGATCATAATGTCAATATATGTACAAAGGTCGATAAGAAATATGTGTAATGTATAATATTTTATAAGAACTATAAATAAGGCAAGTAAAAGAAAATACTCGTATGTTCAACAAGGATATAAAAGCGAGCTCGCTATTTTGTTTTATAAGACTACTTACTAATTGAACTCGGAGAATATTCCACTGAAGGTAAAATTCGTTTGCTCTTCGCTCTTGTTAAGTTTTTGTTTATACTAGATATAAGCGGATTATAAAGTCTCATTTAACTAGTGGACTAATATTTTGAAACGTTTATTACTTTTTGAAACACAGACAACAAGGAACTACAGCCAAAAAGACTAATTCTATTATATTCATTTAAGTTTTACTTCTGTATTCTATATCAATTGGTTGTAATATATATTATAAAACAATAGATATTGTAAATAAAAAATAAACTACTAATAAAAAAATATTAGTAGTTTATTTTCAAATGAAAAGCATATGCACGTATGTGCTTTTCATTATTATTAGGTTTTTATATCGATGCCATCCTCTTCTTATATAAATCAAGCTGTATCCCGCGGTTTCACCCGCGTGTTTCAATTTATAAAGTTTCTTCATTCGTTCGTTCAGTAATTTTTGTGTGAAATAGAAATATCCAAGCATATATCTATTTTTACAAATTTTTGCACTTGTAACAGTAGAAATATCTCCATTAATGTTTCATATTTCATGTTCTTTATCTATTATTTATTTACTTATCCTTTAACGTATCTGCGATTATGTGTCATAAAAAGCTAAGTATTCCTTGGATTAGGGGCATATTGTTCTAATATAAGGTATGTGTCACCTCTTTTTCGGCGTTGAAATTTAAGATGTCTCCCTTGTATTATCCTTTTCACAGTTTATCTCCTTCGTCAACAAAGGCATATTACGTTCGCATTCCACCGAGGTGAACGACAGCGAGCCTTGCGACGATGCAAGGTCGTTTTGTGAAGGGAGACACTAATACCTACACGGTATTGTGCGACTAATTCTAGATTAAATACTTAACTTCCCGATAGAATAAAGAACAAGTCATATAAAGTATTCAAAAACCTACACGTATATGATGTATTTGCAACCGAATTCAAAAGTAATAGGTTTTCAATATGATTGCATTTTTTGTAAAGATATTTACATGATTTGTTTTAAAATAGATAAGATTTTTACTTCTCTATAGAAATCCGTGATATATTTGCAAATTTTTAATAGTTTTGTTTTGTAATAAAATATTATTAAATCATCAACAGGAAGTATGAAGGTAATGTATTGATGATGTCACTTTTCGACGTTCGATATATTGTTATATTAATCATCACTACCAAAATGAATCTAGTACCAGCTAAAAATATTTTTATTCAGGTTTTATTCTGGCTTTAAGTTATTACTTTATTACGTATTTTGTTTTTTTACAATAATGTAGTCCTTATTAATATTAAAGTTTACGAACTTTCTTCCCTATTCTTTTTGTATAGTTATTATTCAATTTTTTTTACCTAATATTTTAAACATGAATACGAGTTTATTTCTTATATCTCAGTGTCCTAAATATATATCATTAACCATTACTTTGTCTGCGTCTGAATATATAGATTAGACATGTAGTTGGATAAAAACTAGTCTGTCGTCTTTCTTCATCCTAAATACCACATAAATAACATGTATGTTATGATAAACTTCATGACCATCGGATAAGCCATTAAGATACGAAGAGATATGAGAAAAAGTCACTTTCACGTTTATAATATTGCAAAAAAGGTCTAAAAATTAATATAATAATAGTAGTGTTCTGATTTTTTTACTACGCAAATGATTATATGACTTAAAATAGATATTTGCCAGTCGTAATGAAATCTTAATTGCACTTTAATTGCATTATGTTTGTTTATATATACATGATGGAGCAGGCTTGCCATTCAAGCATGCAAGGTATTCTGATTTTCACTCAAATGTCACATATGTTTTCTCCAAATTTGTACGATATTCTTTGTTAGTGTTTATAAACTTATGTCAGTTTTCACTACGTTTTAATTTAACCTCTATGTAAACGATGAAATATAGAATGCCATTTCTTTGTGTCCGATTTCATTACTTCATGTTACTATCTTCTTCGATATATTCTAATAATTAATATACGGTTTA